GCCCTGTCACACTCACTCACACACGCACACGCACACGCACGCACACACCGAGCATCCTCCCGTCAGGTCTCCCGGTGCAGCCCCGCCCGCGCCTCCCGCTTCCTGCAAACCTTCTCCCGGTCTCCCTACACTCTCTCCACCCTCCGTTCCTCCAGCTCCGGGACCCTGCCCCCAACCCCGGGATGGAGCGGCTCGAGCCTGCCCGGAGCCCCCCGCGGCCGGGGTGACGGTCCCTCTTCCGCCCGGCCCCCGCCTCGAGCACCATGGGCCTGAGGGGCTCCCGAGGCGCCGGCCGCTGAAGATGACCGATGCTGGAGGTGAGGGGCCGGGCCCCCTGGGGTGAACTGGGAAGCGGGGCTGGGGGCCGCTCAGGCTCGCGATGGGACCCCGAGTGGGGTTGGATGGGGCCAAGCGACAAGGGCCTTTCTTCCCCTGTCCCTGTAGGGGACCGTACGGGGCTGGGGTGCTGGGTTGTCAGGGGAGGTGGCCGAGATAGGATTTGTGTCCCTAATCCCCTCCCTCCTGCCCGATGCCAGGAGAAATTAATAAAAAACTGGTGTGGGGGAAGGGGGAGAGGGCTTAACTCCTTCTTGTCCGGCGTGGAGTTGGACGGATGAATTGGAGAGAAACTAGCCACCGAAGGTGCCCTGTCCCCCACTCCACCCGCACCCCATCTCCAGCAGCGCTTGGAGGGGGTGTCCGGCTCCTGCAGACCGCCCCCAGCCTGGGGCCAGTGGGAGACTGGCCGCGTGGGGAGGGGGCACCGCCTCTCTCTCCACAGCTGCCTCCACCACCCCCAGCCTCCTCTCCCGGGGCCGTTTCTTCTGGGCCTTTCCCACTTGCACGTCTCTCTCGGTCTCTTTCTCCTCTTCCAGGGCCCCCTTCCTCTGGCCCGCCTGGCAGTGGCTCTCCCTTCCCTCTTCTCTCTCTTCACACCCCAGCCTTGGTCCTCAGTCACAGAGGGCAGCTGGAGCCCTCTGTCTCCTCGCCGCTTTCCTTGGCCCCTCTCTGTCTGATCCCTTTCTGCTCTTTCTTCTCAGCAGCCCTGTGGACTCTCCAATCTCTAGTGCGTGTCTACACTGTGTTTGTTCCTACTCCTCAATCCCTTTCCTCTCCCCGGGGCTTATGCACCCTTTGTTTCTCTTCATCCTTTTGGTCTGTGCAAGTTTGGAGCTCACCTGCCTCCCTTTCTCCCAGAGAAGGGTCAAAGGGCACTGGTATTCCTCTTCCAGGAATTGGAAGCCTTGAGGGAAAGAGTGGTCTGATAGCACCAGAGCCCAGAGGGTATGGAGGGAAACAGGTCCATTCCACCCTTGTGCGGTTACGTGTGTGTGTGTGAGTGTGTGTGTGTGTGTAGGAGTGGGAGTGGGGGTGGGATTCAGTGTCTAATTGTCCAAGGCTCAGTTTTGGAAGGAAAGGGTTGCGTGGGAGGGGCCTGGTGACCTCCTGCATATACCGCTTCTCCAGAGTTCCCGATGGGACAGTGTAGGGTGGGTCCACCAGGGAGTTAGTTAGTGAAGGAGGGAACGAAAGCAGTTTGTACTGAATCAAGATGGACTGAGCGTGGGTGTGAGCTGAAAACTCCAGCCTACCAGAGGTTGCCTGAAAGACGACTCCATCCACAAAAGGATCTTGACCCTGGACGGGGGCCTTAAATAGAGAACAAATGCGATTTCCATTCTCAGGAGTCCCTCAGAGGACCTCCATTCTGGAGAGGCAGTTCATATCTTCAGAGAGTCCCTAGTGTGATGGGGGAATGCATGGCCCCTCCTCAGGGCCCTCTCATCTGATGTGGGGGAGATAAGACCCGTTTAGGGACTCGATGAAGTGTGAAGAATTTCCTATTTCCCGATGGGGGAATGCATGGCCCCTCCTCAGGGCCCTCTCATCTGATGTGGGGGAGATAAGACCCATTTAGGGACTCAATGAAGTGTGAAGAATTTCCTATTTCCTATTAGTTGGAGAAGGGTGGATTTAGAAATTATGTAGACACATGGTGAGGAGGGAGGGCTACCTAGGACAGCTTTCTGGAGAAGGTGGCAGCTCGGTCCTAGTCAGATAAGGCTTTGAGATTGAATGAGGGAGTTTGGTTCATTCTTAGGGGTGGCCTCCCTTCCCATCTGGCCACTCAAGAAGGGGAGAAAGGTTCTAGATCTTTGCTACTAGCTCTCAGAATTCAAAACTGGCAGGACAGTTCTTGGAGGGCCCAAGTCCCTGACCCCTTCCCACACCTCATTTCCTGCTTTCAGCCTCAGGCAGCCATGGAATCTGGGGGTAGAGGTGGTTTTGATGCTTTTTCCAGTCTTAGCCAGTATGGACCACTTTCCTTTTTTCTACCCTTATCCCTTCCCTCAGCAGTGTCCTTTCCTCATGAGCACCCCCCAAAACTCAGATCATCACCCCAGATAGGGCTGAGGGGCAGGAGACACCAGGGTCAAGGCTGAGTTCTGCCTCTCATCCTCTGCATCTCAGTAAACTTCACCTCTGCAAAGTGGAGCTACTGTTCCCAAGCCTGGCCAGATCACAGTGAGATGATGTCTGTGTAATAACAGAAAAGTTGAAAAAGACCCCAGCAGGCATGCGGCCTATCTTTCCTACACCTATCAAATGTGTGGTCTAGCCCAGTGCCTCGCCCTTCTCCCGGAGACCTGAGTGTTACAAGTAATTGGAGATCATGTCTCAACCACGCAGTGTCCCCCCTGCCCTAAACCATCAATGGCCCCTGAGTTTCCTCACTCTCCCCTGGGCCTCTCGGGGCTGTGGGAATCCTCTATCTGCTAGGAAGCCTACCCAAATTGTTTCAGCTGCGTATATCCTGCTTTTCTCCCTTCTTGCTTCCCCCACCCCACCAAAAACCAAAAAAACAAAAACAAAAAAGAATCCTACCCATTCACACTCTTCCTGGAACGTACATGATGCTTCAGAGAGATCTGGCTGTCCACTGTTCTGCCGTGAGTACTCTTCATACCCTCCTGCATCTGTGAGTCTGTCAAGGACTGTGGGAACTGTGAGTTCATCTAGAACAGTGGCCCTGCTGATAGTGCCAGCTTCCTGAACAGCTCATGTTCAGAAAGGCAGGTGGTAGGGCATCAGTGATGGGGTGGGGGCGGGGAGGAGGCAGTACCGATGATGGATGGAGAGTTGATGAATGCAAAGACGGGTGGCTGGATGGATGGCAGTAGATGAATGGATGGAGGGTGGATGTTGGATGGATGGATGGATGGATGAGTGGATAGATAGGTGGATGGATGGATGGATGGATGAGCGGATGGACGAGTGGGCAGGTAGATGGAAGGATAAGTAGGTAGGTAGTAAGATGGATGGAAGATCCTGGGTCTGGTCCTGACTTTGCCATTAACTTGCTATGTGATCTTGGACCAGTCACTCCCCCATCTGTTTCATTTGGAAAATGAGAGGATTGGATTTAACAATCTTCATAACTTCTCCCAGATTTGATGGTGGACAGTTTGTGATGATTGAAAGCTTTTAGGGATGCTAAAGAGGGAAAGGCCCGAGACAGTGAAGGGGAAGAAGTTCAGCGACCCCCGTGAAGGCACAGCAAATCAGCTGGGACCAAGACCGCAAGGCTCAGCCTGTGTCCATGCCCTGGATTTGCTTCTGCCCTTACCCTTCTGCTTCTGCCTCCTGCCCCCTGCCCCACCGCCCACAGTCTGGGGTATGATTCAGATGACTTCTCTTCTGGGGGGCTGGAGCAAGAGTTCTAAGGGAAGGTGAGGGGCTGGTGGGCCAGGAGTGGGTAGCCATTGGCATCTCCCCTGCCTTGACCAACCTGAATCTCTTATCCAGGGTCTCTTTCTCTTTCTCTCTCTCCCCTTGTCCTCTCCAGCTCTCTTGAGTCATGGCTTCTTCAAAGCTCCGAGATCCCGCGGATGAGGTTTTTGGTAAGTTCTCTGTGGCTCTATCTCTAGCCAATAAACACAGCCATAGAGCATTTCCCTCCAAGGCCAGTGGGCATTGAGAGGGGGACAGTGGTCCCTGGGGCTTCAGTGTGTGTGTGTGTGTGTGTCGTGGTCTGACTCCTTGTCACCACTCTCCTAAAGAACATGCCAGTTACAACAATGACAATAAGTGTCCCCATTGATCAAGTGCTTATCTTATGCCAGGTACTAGGGTAAGCACCCACATCTCACATGTACCGTATCATTTAATCCTCACGACAATGCTAAGAAGGAAGCCCATTCTACAGATGGGGAGCATAGGGTGCCAAGTGCTGAAGTGACTTGCTGTAAAGATCACATGGCAAATTAGCGGCAGAGCTGGGACTATAACTCCAGATTGGCTGACTCCCTGCTCTTTTTTTTTTTTTTTTTTTTTTTTTTTTG